AGCAGGAACAAACAACCCAAATCAGAACCAAAGAGTCATGCAAAGTGAGTGACAATTGAAAAAAGTGTAAACATACAGATTTGGAATATTTTGATGCTCTAGCTGTAATAGTCTTAAAATACCTCAGTGTTGTGCAGCACATAATAGCACAGAACCGTAGTTTACCAGGGGTTAGGTGCAAACTACTATCTCTAAGTTAAATCCCTTGCCCTAATTTTCTTCCCTACTCGCTGTGAATTTAAGGTTGATCTTTTAAATTAAATTATTCAAAGATCATTTAAAGTGAAAAAATATTACAATGAGGAAGGTTTTCAGAAACAGTGCCACAAACTACTGTCCCATACTCTCTTGGTTCTATAGAATTCAGATACTTTGATCTTCTGCTTCCAAGGATCCTGCCTGATATTGACCACCAGAAGGTCCCTTTTCAATACAGGTCATTGTATGGCCAACACTCCGCTCAGCTGCCTCCGTAAAAATACACCTTTAACTTCTGAGTGCCCCCAAGGAACCACAACAATGCTCCAGTAACAGAGTTTTAAGTATTGCCAGATCTACAGAAATAGAATTATCTCCAATTTGCCATTTGTGGGAAAACAACCCTAAATTCAAGACAAGGTAGATACAAAGCAAACAGAACTAATTTTTACAAAATCCAGGACAGTACAGGTTTCAAAAGTTCTAAAGATACAATTGGGGGGAAAAGGACAGAACACAAGTAATCTACATCTTCCAAGATCAAATTCAAGAGACCCCCTTAATCCTCACTATACCCAGCTGACAGATGCCAATTTCTCTAACACTGAGTGAAGGAGATTCATGAGACCTACACTGCATCCACAGGGAGAGCATTTCAGCCAGGGAAGCATGGTGTCTTTAGTTCCCCTTTGTTTGATGCAACCAGCATGATACTTAAGAAGTCCGTTCAAGTCTGACTTCAAGGTCTGTCCAAATAAACTTTTTATTCTGGCTGTATGGAGTGAGGCCAGAAATATTCTATCCCCAGACACATAAAACATTTCCCAATAAAGTCCATGTACTACATCCTTGCTCAATTTAAAACTGGTGCCTTTGAGATAGCTAAGGGCTGACTCCAAAGGCATCAGTATTGTGGCTAAAAAAAACTGTGTATATGCGCAAGTTGTACACAGATTATAACTCACCGCAGCCATCCCCCCACACTCAGTTTTACCATCTCTTCTATCATGACTGGCATTTATGTGATGCCCATAAACAACTGATAACATGTAAAACGACATCACTAGATAGTCAAGAGGTGGTAAGAATCTCCTGGGTGAAAAAGGGTTCTTCTGCATGCCAGTGTCAGGTATCACAGAAAGATAATGCAGAATATACCTCAATCTCAAAGCCCTGGAAAAAAAAGTAGCTACAACAGAAAGAGGATTGCTAAATTTCATTTCCTTGAAGAAACCCTATGTCTTTGTGTATTATATATACTGTATGCTCAGCAAAATAAAATGCAAAGTTAGGCAAAATGCTTTTTTCCGATGTGGTAGAAGTTTTTAACAACTGAGATGTAGTTCTCAGAAATTCACCCTTAGACGTCACCTGCAGTATCACCCTTAGATGAGCATTAACTAAGGGTCATATCATCATCATTGGGTCTAACACAACCTACTCTTCACTCATCACAACAGTAAAATACATTTTGATACTTCATACAATTCAAGAAACCAGATATAGAACACACACACCCCCTAGTGCAATGACTCCCAAACTTTTGTCATAATTCAAATCCTGAATCTCTATATCCCCACGCACAAAACCCAGAAACAACGTGGTTGTCTCTTTTCATCTCTTTTCTCTTTTTGTCTTTCACCATTCTCTTCCAATCTTTCCTTTGCTTCCTTCTGCTTTTGACTAGTGATTCTTTCCCCTTGATATGCCACAGGAAAATCTATATGCCACTCAGAATACGGCCATAATTATTGATACATAGGTAGTACCAGGACACGCGTTTTTCTGAAGCGGGTAAGAATCATTTCTGCCTGTTTGCAGAAAGGACCACAGTCACGGGATCACAAAGGGACGACTGTCCTAAGAGCTAATGGCTTTACTGATACTAGTATGTTTAACCACAGGCAGCTGAAGCAGGCAGTGGAAACTATGTCATCAAGTTAAATCCTCTCCTCCTGATCACATGTAGGATAATCTGATGCTTTTCCCCTTTCTTCTTCGGTTAAAAGATGCTCTTCTAAAAAAACCTGCCAGTATGCTGCACCAAAAATAGATGAGAAGCATCCAGAATAGTAGCTTACTCTGACCTTCAAATCCGCTTGTTTTAATCTTTCTGTAACATCAATCACTGTACATGTCAGCATACTGCAATTTGCAAAACACGCTCATGAACTCCCCCCAAAAATTGTCCAATGATACCAGGCAACAGGACATATTTTGATATAACCCTTTACATTCACCATCGTTACAACATTCTTGATCTGCAATAGCTAACAAGAAAATTTCAGAAGTGTAACATCTAAACCCAACATAGCTATGAACATTTACAACAGCATTCTACTCCAAGGTGTTACCAGAAGGTAACCCTACTATCTTAAGAGCAGACCATCAACTATGATAAAATTATTTGCGGAAGAAATTTAATTCCAGGGCCCTTCCTTCACATACATATAACTTCAAGGTAGAGTTGGCATACGCTGTGTTATCAACATATTGCCACTTCTTAACTGAAGTTTGCATATACATCCACAGTGATGTAGACTTTCAGGCAGCAAAATCCAGCCTCTGAATCCAATTTATAAATAATGTCTCCAATTGAGATAAATAGTCAAAGCAAATTCTTATAAACTGTCAGAACCGACATACTCCAAATGAAAATACAGTTGGATCAATGAAACAATGCAGACACAGTGTCAGTGACTCTTCCCTTTTACTATTTCTCAGTGAAAGAATACTCACTGGAGCATCTTTACTACAAGAGTGGTGAGGCACTGGAATAGGTTGCCCAGAGAAGCTGTGGAGGACCCCTCCCTGGAAGTGTTCAAGGCCAGGCTGGATGGGGCTTTGGGCAATGTGGTCTAGTGGAGGGTGTCCCTGCCCGCAGCAGGGGGGTTGGAACTAGATGATCTTTGAGGTCCCTTCCAACCCAAACCATTCTATGATTCTATAATCTTTATAGACACAAAGGTCTAAAAAATGTATACCTCAGTAAAAACCAAAAAGCTGGGTTTTTCCTTCTAAAGAGAGCCTAAATTGGGAGATACATTTTCTAACTAATGCAGTGATTTTTTTATAAAATGCAAATATAACACCCCTAGGGAAAAGGGAGGTGGACTTTCAAATCATAGGCTTTCACAAGTTTTAGTTACAGCAGGTTTCCTTTTAAAGGAAACACCTATCGCATACCTATTATATAACAAAAGGGACATCTAAAAGACAATCTTACTTGGCTCTATTTTCAGAGTAATTTAAAAACAAATATTGTTAACCATTCAATTAAGGACTTGTTGGTAAATTGACCTTCCATATTTGCTCAAGGATTGACAGTTTAAGGAAAGGAAAATGGAGGTTGGATGAGTGAGCACAATGCCTGAGAGTTCATAACAAGAGCTGGAAGAAGGCAAGGAAGGAGACGTGGTTGACAACATTCGAATCGTCATCCTGCATCTTTTGGATACAGTTGCAGAAATATCCCTCTGCTTCAAATTAGGATTCTAGACCTGCTCTTCCAGCAACAGTGACTTGGAGGACAGCTGCTGATGCAACTTACACTTATCTTTGGCCTTGACCTCTAGGCAGACTGCCATAGAATCAAGACACTGCCTTTTTTAAAATTAGCTTGTCAACTTCTAAGCAAAACTTACATGGCCTTCCATGCCTTCCTGAGGACTCCAGTCTTTCCAGCTGTTTCTTCCAGCTTTTAGCCGTATCACCTCATCTGGCCACTGCAGCTCTTTCCTTTTTGACACGTTGATCCCTTCCAGTACTTGACTGGGATCCATTAACTATAAGTAGGAATTGAGTTTTGACTGTTAGTTCAGCCAAAATTTAAAAGAAACAGATAAACTGTAACCTTTTGCATACTTCTAAGAGAACTGACTTAAACCCACAGAAATCGATTTCTGACCAATTCCAATGGTGGAAACTCAAGCCCAGGCTAGGAAAAAGCCTGAGCAGCACAATTTGGAAATCAGGCTGTGGTTTCAGACACAGCTGACAATATACCAGTTCACTGCTGTCTGAAGCAGCACCTCTGGTTCCCTTTCCCACTCCTCCTTTTCAGTTCTTACACTGGCTGATGGCAGGGTCTGAGGAGCTGGCATAACACAGGCATTGGCAGCATGTGTTCCAGTAGCAGGGAAGAGTTAAGCGATGATGAGCGTTAAAACTGGCTCATCACTTCTTACAGAATATCTTAATAAACATGGTCTTAGAGAATTTACTGTTAGGCTGAAGAACTACTTATCTACTAGCATGGTTAGTTGAGACCCACCCCATGTTTTGAAGTAAACTGGCCTTTCCACAGGGGCAGCAGGAAAAAACTCCTGAAAACTTCTTCCTATTTAAGGACAGAGAGAACCGTATAATGTCCACTATCCAAGGGCACATGCCAACTTTGCCTGTATCCTCCTGACACAGAGGAAGTAAGCAGTTTCATAAAAGGGCCCTTGCCTGCAAACAAAAGCTACTAAGCAGAGACCTACAAAATTAATTTTATTTTGCGCACTATGATGCAGTTTACTAAGAATTACTCTAAAATGAGATGATACCAGCAATGAAATCACATTTGTTATGATCTATCCTATTAAATACACTTCTTGATGTTTCCCACTAATATCCTGCCAAAGACATGTATGTGGGGCTAATAAAAGCTAGAAGAGCAAGAACGCAAATTTCTGTATTTTCACGAAATGAGTAAGGCCGCCATGATTAATGGCGATCAATGGTGTGCTGTTTGCTGCTTAGTAAGCCCAGACTTGTGGCAATAACTGAAGAATAAATACATATGAAAATGCATAAATATATATGAAAGTGAGTATTGTTACACTTACTTTTGTGGAAAAACATACTTGGTTTAAAAGAAAAAAGCTAGTTGCTTTCTGCCCTGCAAATGAAGCAGTTTAGCTTTACATGTTGTAATGAATAAACGCAAACTAAGTATGAAGTGGAACCAAGTTCAGCTGACAGTCTGAAAGTCGCACTACAGCAAAACATGTAAGTAACACAAACAGGGATGCCTAAGCAAGCATGCAGGAAGGCTGGTTGTCCAGAAAACCTTTTCCTCGTATGAGTTCTCCAAATATAACTGCACAATAGTTGTATACTGACACATTCCAGACTCTGTGCATATTTAAAAGTAGTGATTTCAACAACATACAAGGTAACACTAACAAAATCACATGGAAGCATAGGTTAACTTGTTCTTCTGGACTATTCACCTGGATTCTGTAAATAACGTCATCCTTTTTGGCTTGCATTTGATTTGCAGGGCTTGCATTACCACCTGACTGAGTTTCAGTTGCATTACTCCCTCCTTCTGTCCCTAGAAAGCCCACAAGGGCATGCTGTTTACAGGCTGGGATGCTTTGGCTGGAGCTGCTAGAAGAGGGCAGTCCATGCTGCGCGCTGACCCCAGTCTGGCCAGTAGGTTCCATTTGGTTCACCATAGATAGGCGGGACTGGATGGATGATGGGAGGTTACGAAGGGATATCTGACTGGTGGAAGAGCGCCGACAAGGCACAAAGCCTGTTGTGGATGTGCGAAGAGATGAATGACGACTGCCGTAGCAATAAGATGAATGGCTAGCTACTGAGGCACGGGCAGGGGAATGTCTGACAAGGCTTGACTGCACAGAGTGAGAGCTGTGACTGGTGCCTAAAAGTAAAAGATACATAATCAGGAGAGTTTGATAAAGCCTCCCACACACATTAGATTTCTGACATACAAACGTTTTAGCGCTTAGATACAAAACTGATGGGTCTAATCAACAACTTTTGAAACAGCTGTATTACAGAAGATCTCTATTGCATTTCATATAGCAGAGCGTATCAATACATTCCATTCATCTTATCTTAGAATTTCATATTCTGTTCAATTCACAATCCTGCAAGACAAGCAGCTTGAAAAGCGCTTCAGCCTTGCTCTTACCACATTAACAATTTGTTTCTTAATATTGACACTTAAGTTTCCCATACATAAGGCATTAAAGCAGGTAGAGATGTCCATGTTTCAAAATACTAAATATTCTTTCTTAATATACTTGGCAGGATGTTCAAAAATTGAGTCAGAAAATTTGTTAGAGCAAGAGCTGTTTTTAAACAAATTCAGAAAAAATTAATGCACTTAATCTGCAATTCCCGTTTTTCACTTTATGAGCATTGGTGTCATTGTTACTAAGTATTACTAAGTACTTGCAGATACCCCTCCACAGCTGACAGACCTACTTAAATTGTGTAAAAGAGTTCAGTCAACTACATACACACTTTTAATTTCTTTGTAAGTAAAGGCAGTGTCTGGAAAGCTTTTTCCCAGCTTTACTGTTTATCACCTCCCTAACTACAGATCACTACAAACTCTTGGATAGGATTCAGCTAAAATAATATCAACACAGAGAATCCATCCACTGTATAAATAAGAACTATAAAGACATTCGCAAAAAATGACAAGTTTAGCATTTGCAGACAATACAACAAAACAGATCCAAATCTGTAGAGATGTGTTATATAAAGTTATTTAACCTGTTTTGCCAGCACAAGTATAGCCCTATTGCTCAAATCTCTGTTTGGGAGCCTTGTATTGCATAAAACAGCACTGTAGTTTGAGATGAATCCAGCAGGTGTTAACACTACATAATCAAGTTACTTTTGTTTGCTTTTTCTTTTAACATAGGCCTGCTCCAAAGAGCTGAAAGGCCAGTTCTGGCTATAGGATTGTACTTGTATAAAATTGTTGCTTTATTTTAACTTTACCCAGAGTGGAGGGATGAGTTGGTGGATGAGCTGCAGGAAGAGCTGTGGGATGAGCTGCAACAGGAGGGTGCTGTACTGCTCCAGGTCCCTGCCCTGTAGTTGCACTCCCTCCGCCTTGTGACATGCTGCTCTGCGACTCATTGATAGTTGCATTGTTACTTGTGCAAGAAGCTCCACCTCCAGCATCTGAATCTTCAATATTTCCACCGCTATTGCAGCCAGCTCCACAACCTTTCCTTAGTCTGAAAGCATAATGCAATTGACACATGAAGTCAGGCCTTCTAGTCGTCAGGATTCTAAGAAATGCCTTATAATGACAAGCAAAAGGCTTTACTCTGCACAATCCACAGCATTCCTCAAGATCAGATGAAACTTGCCTGTCTCAGAATATGCTTTGCAAGTATAAATACTGCTTTCTAAGAGACTGCAGTTTTCTTTATGACACCTATTCAAGTAACGTTTATTTATGAGAAGCCAAATGCTCGTATAAATAGCTTTTGAGAAAATCAAGCCACCTCTGAAGTACAATAAAGTGATAAAATTCTAAATATAAAATGCTGGTAGAACATTGTGGTTATTTTGTAACAGTTTAGTAAATTTTATGCTCCTTAACACACCAGTTGTGTATCCTTATACTGCAAAATCTTTGTCTATTCAGATGAGCAGGAAAAGAATGTTTGTAGGTTGTTTTTTTTCTTTTTAATGTATTCAGCTTCTTGTTACCTTCAGTAATGTACTCACAGTTGTTTGAAGCGCATATTGGAATCAAATCACAAAGTTCTCATGTGAATTTTGAGCATTCAGACACTAGGCTAGCCCAATGTTTTCCAGTGCATATACAAGATTTACACCATATTGTTTGCATTAACGAACTTCAGATGAACACAAAAAACACAGCACATTCTTCCTCGCTTCAATTCCTATTTTTATTATTCTTTTCTTTCTGTCACGCTCAAATACACCGAGCACTCCTCTCCAATTTTATTTGCCCCTGGGATCTAGAATCCCAAAGAGTACACAGCTTGGATCCAAATACTGTTCTGTGCCATACTTTCACCTGTTATTCTATTATGTGTCAGACAAGCAGATGGCGACAGAAGACAAGCATCATTGACTGTAGTAAGCGTGGCATATTCTGGGGTGAAGCAGCACGTTCTGCGTTGATGTGCTGTAGATGTCTGATGGTCACATTTACACTTAGAACAGCTACAGGACTGTTCCAACTATGGCACCAGCTCTTGGAAATGGTAAGAGCTGGGACACACATTTCTGAATGCCACACACAGCTGCCACTGTTACTTTTGGAGGCACAGACATAAGGGGCCAGAAGCATAGTAAAAGTTTTCATGGCCTATAAAACGTAGCACAGCAAGAGTTTGTACTGGGTTACTGAGGGGTCATGTGGAAGGAGGATTATATTATCACTCCAGTTGTTCTGGCTCTGACATACAGCGTATTTATAAGCACTTAGGAACTCAAGCTTTAGCTGTTGTTCAGAATTCCCTATATATGAGCACACACTAACAACATACATGCTAAACGTTTGCCAGACAGAAACCATATCAAATAGCCCTGATTCTGTAAGGATGGTATTATAGACTGCAAAAGTGATGGTACTGAAAAAAATACAAAAGTTGCATTGTCTATCATCATCAAAACTGAAGTTGTAGTTCTAGACTTTTTTGTCTTGTTTTTTCTAAGCTGTCATTTATGTAGTTTGTGGCTTATTACTTACATGCCTTGAAGATAAATCCTGTACCAAAGCAGTTGTCATATGGTACAGACGTGCCTGAAATAAAAGCCAAGGCTTATTTATTTTTGTGTGACTGAATATTATTAACTATGCCATGTTGGGCATGTATGATACTAGTTAATGGAATATGAGAGCATGAACACATATTAATGAGAACTCATTTCCTCAGCTCACCTGTGCCATGTAGACACTATGAAGTTTCTGATGTTTCCTAAGCTGATAGCTCCCCCGAGGATCTCCTTAAGCTGTTCGTGACTATCTGAATAGGAAGTAGTCAAAGGCGAGACGTAGATGGGGTATCCAATTGGCTGGTCACAAGAGGAGTTGATCATGTTCCTCAGAGCTTGTTTTGCATTTTGGATACTTCCCCTTTCTGGATTACGATTACGCAGGAAGACAAGCTCCTGTTGTTGTCCTGCCCACAGGCCACGCACACACTCCTTATTCACCTGCAGAACATGACAGGCAGAAGCCAAGCAGAAAGGCAGTGTCAGAAAGTCAAACAATGAGAGTGTGTGAAGACCGCTTTGCTATGCCTAGGCCTTCACAAGTGTATGTAATACTGCACTGCAGAACTACAAGCGTTCATATTCACTTTAAAAGGCTGAACTGACAGACACTGGCTGCAACAGTGAGAATAAAGCAAATCTAAGAATAGGATCAGAAATAAAATATTTTAAGTCAGTATCTGATTTTCTAATTAAATACTTCCACTGTATGAGAAGAAGTAGCCCTAGCAATGACAGATCAGTAACAAAAAAGTAATGATTTGAGTTGAAATAGCAGTTTCGTATAGTTATATTAAAATATACCACAACATACTGTCACCTTGTGGAATGTGCAAAGCTTACCTTAATGACCCTGAAACTGAGATAGCGCTTATTCAGCATAATGATTTTATATTCATTGGTGCCATCATCCATCACGTGACGCAGAGCAAGGAGGGAGGGAGAATTGGAAAGAACTGCACTTCGCCAAGCAGGGTCCCCTTCATGTGCTATAACTAGATTTTCTTCATGGGTTGTTATGGCTTCATAAAGGACAGAAGGATCATCATACTCATCTGGAGAAGTGAAGTGATCCTATTTCCAAGAACACACATTCAGTAAGATATGATTAACATTTCAGACGTAACTATGTATAAAAATCAAACATATCACACCTCAAACTCTTGAAAGGCTCAGTGCATTGCACAAAGCTAGACATAAAAATATCAGATATCTGCTAAAGAACATTGTTAAAGATGACCTCTTTTCCAACAGATTATTACTGTTGACTTGTGTTTGCTTCCTTTTAACTTAAAACCAAAGTGATTGGAAGGACCTGCCTGTTATTGATTCAAGTAAATTTCTAGTTGAATGTTACAATAGATTTATATCTATTTATATTGCCTGCAGAAGCATTTTAGTTTTAGCGTCTATTAATAAAGTTCACATTAAAACATGATGACAGACTATTTCAGCATCAGTTACTAACACACAACTTACATTAGTGCCAGTCAAATAAAAAACAAAATTTGCAAGTTCAATTCGGTATTAGGTCACATTACTTTCTGTTTAAAAAGGGTAGTGGTTAATAGCTGAATTCCCAGCACTGGCTGAAGCCTCAATATGCTGTTGCACTGCAAGTGAATAAAATCACCCTTTATAGATTAATACAGTAACGTTCAGGAAAAAACCTTCTTCTATTATTATAGACATTTGTATTTTTCTCACTTTTCAGTCTCTGTCTTGTTTCAAGCCCATTCTGCACAGTAACCCAAACACACTGAGAACACTTCAGAAACGTTGAAGTGGTACTTCTGGTTTCAACAATGATTTTCTAATTATTCTACTTTGTTATGTGTACTCTGAACACCATACATATTCTGCTAAATGCAGGGAGTTTGTGTTATATTAGGGAGTGGATTCAATCACTGGGAGCTTTGGGGGACTTCTAGACTCTGCAATAAAGACAAAAATGCAACTTCATTATTTAAAAAGCACAACTAAGATTTGCCTACTTACTACGATTTTCAAGCAATCTGCTCTTCAACAGTACCAACACTTTCTCCACCCCTCAGAGAGTACTTACGACTCAGTATGTGCTTTCTTGTACCTGCTGAGCTTAGTTAAGAGATGGCACTGGATGGAATTTGAGATTGTTCATCTTCACCCTCACCATAAATATCGAGCCCAATTTCAGCTTACTGAAAAGCAACCTTCTCATTCTCACCTGAAACCTTAGTGATGGGATCAATGACTAACACTTCAAAAAAGAAAGAACAGAGAACAAGAAAACTCCCATTGGACAGCTGGAGAGGGCCGTGCAGCTTTGAATGGCATGATAACCTTTTAAGCCCACTACGTATATGTGGGGAGGGGAGGAGGGAGGGAAAATCAGAGACGCTGTTCATAAGGGAATTATTTCTAGATGGATATGAAACAGGGCTTGAAGTGTTCTCTGATCTACATTTGATGTCATTTTCAAGCTCTGAGCATAAATTGCATTCCCTTTTCCTATCACCTTCCAGATGAACTATAATAAAATGAAGGACAAGACATGATACTCCCTCATTTTCAGTTGTCTATCTCTATTACATGCCCTTTAATTCTCTTCCTCTTTGTTCTCTCTCCCAGCCACTTATTGTTAAAAGAGCAAACACACAGAAATAAAAAGAACTGGACACATCTTCCTGTGTAATCTCTCACCTGATGCAGCTTAAGTGACATCCGTATTCCAGGAACTACTACTTTCCTCAGCAATTCCATGTCAGCAAAGATCCATTCATCTCTAATTGAAGATATACGGAAGTCACCTTTAAATAGGGCATGCAGGCCATACAAGAAGGATTCCAGATTACTGTTGAGGGAGAAAAAAAGGAAGAAAACAGCCCAAATATTAACAGAAATACAATATCCACAATTATCATCACTGGCAGGGGCAGAAAATACTGAGCTGTACAGAAAGGCACACAATTCTTCTCTATAAAGATAACTTACAGGATAAGACAGGGAGAAGAGAACATGAGTAAGGATGTGTAAGCAAAGCTTGGACACTAAATGTCTATGTACACTGAACAGGTAATGAATAAACCATACGTGTAACAGACTATTTACACAGACTAAAGTAAATAGAAACACTGTGAGGAATGCTTGACTTTATTCTGAAGATTTTTAAAGAGAAGATTTTTCAAGGAATGTAACACCACAATGAACCAGTTAAGGAGGACATGTTGCTTCAGTTGTGAATGTATGTACAGAATAAAAACCTTGACATCTTTCTTATGCTTACAAGTATCACTTCCTAAGCTAACTTAAGAGTGAAAAATCAAATATACTCTGACCACTCTTATGACTACATATCTGCAAGACCTTCGG